TAAAGATGTAAAGGAAAACAAATAAGGAATGAAGAACTCCTTATGAGGTTTAGCACGAGAGAAAATCGAGGAGATGCATGATAAGAGAAATAGATGCAAGATAAACCAATATCTAAAATTATTAGAATAACTCATGTATTTGAATAGAATCATTTGCAGTAGTGTGTATATGTCTATAAATATTGTTACATTCATATGTGGTCATTACAATGATAATTACTATGCGATATGTATTACGAAATACCTTTTTCTCGCAACAGTTCATGCTATGGACATCTACTCAGATTCTAATGTCTATATGTCATTGTTTATTATCTCGTTAATAATTAACGCGTATATGTGAAACTTTCAAAGTGAATAAAAAGTACTTAAGCATATAAACATTGCAGTTTCATTTTCTTTTTACCAAGAACAAAATCACTCATCTTCATCTGTGATTTCATGTTCGTCCATAATTAATTCGTCAACTTTTAAAATTGCATCGTAAAAGAACAGCCTTAGTGAGCTTCTTAATATAATACTGGATATGAATTCGTTGTTATTTAAATCATTATTAGTGACTATTGCATAGAGTGTTTGAACTATTGTAGATCCATTTAGTATAATGGAATAATTAATAATTCAAGTTCATGAATTAATTATAGAAATTTGGAATTTTTCATAACAGAAATATATTTATATTTGCTACAGCGATATTAATAAGTATAAGAAACATCGTTTGATATTTTACATCGATACTTTATCACATAACTATTTCAAAGATGCAACATTTTCCCGCTACAAGAATACCTAGCGTATCCGGTTGCAGTCAACTTCCAGTTGGCGGCAAGGAGGCATACCGGTAACAAATGGTGGAAAACTCTCACGCGTCAAAGTGAAACATTAAATTTCAAAACGTTTCGTGAAGTAGTGATATTGCTCATTGACGTTATAATTATTTTACGAAGTTCAAGATTACTAACTGTGAACATTTCTTCGGTGGTAATATACTACATGTGAAAAAAAAGTGATGTTACATAGTGTAAATAGCGATACATGTGGGAAATGAAGTGGTATGAGTGCGGAATCCTATAATACTACCGCATTGGCCGTTACTACCCGCTGTAGAAGATTATAGATTTCGACTGATCTTTAGAATATTTGATCAAGATTACTCCGAATAGGCAGTTTTTCAAATAGTTTTTTCAATTTTTCTTCGATCTTGACGGTCGATTGCAACATAGTTATGTATTATCTCTTTTCATTCTAAATTTTAATTGTGGATTAGAATATTTCGTTACTACTGCCTAGAATAGGCTGTTCTCTAACCAGTAGGGCAATTATATTACGATTGAAGGTGCATATATGAAACAAAGTAACGGAAAAACAAGTGCCTGTGAAATCGTTCTACACAGTATACTTTATTCGCCTATATTTCTGAAATTAGGCTTTTCGGTTAGATTTTTTCGGTATAATAGCGTACAGTAATTTCTTCCTTAACGGGATTGGATATTTTTTTTCGGTTTCGAGCGTGCGTTTTCGAGAAATACTGACAGAAGTGTCAGTGGCTGTCAGTTCGTGCTGCGCAATATACTTTTTTGGTTTTTAGTTTTTGAATTAGGCTTTTTGGATCGGATATTTCCACTGATTCGCATAGAGTGATTTTTCCCTTAACGGGATTGGATATTTTTTTTCGGTTTCGAGCGTGCGTTTTCGAGAAATACTGCCAGAAGTGTCAGTGGCTGTCAGTTCGTGCTGCGCAATATACTTTTTTGGCTTCTAGTTTTTGAATTAGGCTTTTTGGATCGGATTTTTCCACTGATTCGCGTAGAGTGATTTTCCCCATAACGGGATTGGATACTTTTTGTCGGTTTCGAGCATGCGTTTTCGAGAAATACTGTCGGAAGTGTCAGTGGCTCTCAGTTTGTGCTGCGCAATATACTTTTTTGGTTTTTAGTTTTTGAATTAGGCTTTTTGGATCCGATTTTTCCACTGATTCGCATAGAGTGATTTTTCCCATAACGGGATTGGATATTTTTTTTCTGTTCCGAGCGTGCGTTTTCGAGAAATAGTGCCAGAAGTGTGAGTGGCTGCCAGTTCGTGCTGCGCAATATACTTTTTTGGCTTCTAGTTTTTGAATTAGACACTTTGAATCGGATTTTTCCACTGTTTCGCGTAGAGTTATTTTTCCCATAACGGGATTGGATATTTTTTTTCGGTTTCAAGCGTGCGTTTTCGAGAAATAGTGCCGGAAGTGTTAGTGGCAGTCAGTTCGTGCTGCGCAATATACTCTTTTTTGGTTTCTAGTTTTTGAATTAGGCTTTTTGCCTCAGATTTTTCCACTGATTCGCGTAGTGTGATTTTTCCCTTAACGGCATTGGATATTTTTTTTCGGTTTCGAGCGTGCGTTTTCGAGAAATAGTGCCGAAAGTGTCAGTGGCTCTCAGTTCGTGCTGCGCAATATACTGTTTTGGCTTCTAGTTTTTGAATTAGGCTCTTTGAATCGGATTTTTCCACTGATTCGCGTAGAGTTATTTTTCCCTTAACGGGATTGGATATTTTTTTTCGGTTTCGAGCGTGCGTTTTCGAGAAATAGTGCCGGAAGTGTCAGTGACTTTCAGTTCGTGCTGCGCAATATACTTTTTTGGTTTCTAGTTTTTGAATTAGGCTTTTTGCCTCAGATTTTTCCACTGATTCGCGTAGAGTTATTTTTCCCATAACGGGATTGGATATTTTTTTCCGGTTTCGAGCGTGCTTTTTCGAGAAATAGTGCCGGAAGTGTCAGTGGCTTTCAGTTCGTGCTGCGCAATATACTTTTTTGGTTTCTAGTTTTTGAATTAGGCTTTTTGGATCAGATTTTTCCACTGATTCGCGTAGTGTGATTTTTCCCATAACGGGATTGGATATTTTTTTTCGGTTTCGAGCGTGCGTTTTCGAGAAATAGTGCCGAAAGTGTCAGTGGCTGTGAAATGGTGCTGCGCAATTGTCTTTTTTGGCTTCTATTTCCGAAATTATGCTTTTTTATTTGGTTTGTTCTATGTATTCTTGTAGAGGAGAATGTTCTTTAACGGGATTGGATATTTTTCTTGCGTTTCGTTCATGCGTTTTCGGAAAATAGTGCCGAATGTGTCAATGGCTGTCAGATCGTGTAGCGCAGTTTACTTTTTTGGTTTCTATCTTCGAAATTAGGCTTTCTGATTAGATTTATTCTATATGTTCGCGTAGAGGGAATTCTTCCTGAACGGGATTGGATATTTTTTTTCTGTTTCGGGCGTGTTGGTTTCGAAAAGTAGTGCCGAATGTGTCAGTGGTTGTGAAATGGTGCTGCGCAAATGAGTTTTTTGGCTTCTATTTCCGAAATTAGGCTTTTTGATTTGGTTTGTTCTATATATCCTTGTAGAGGAGAATGTTCTTTAGTAGAATTGAATATTTTTTTTTTCGGTTCCGTTCTTGCGTTTTCGAAAAATAGTGCGGAAGTGTCTGTGGATGTCACAACGTGCTGTGCAATTTACTTTTTTCGGAAGGGAGGTATTATTTCTTGATGTTCCAACCTGTATGTCATGTCATTGGATATGAGTAAAATTAAGCAATATTTATGGGAAGGTTACAAAACAGCAAAACATGATATAGTAACCCACATTGCATGGCTCACAGATATGTTTTCAAATTTCATGCATTAGGACGTTAAATATAATAAGTAATGTATTATTACTGAAATATTGTTGACATTGCCAGATCGTGTATTTTCAACTGTTTGGGAATTAACTTAGAAAGGAAAAAGGAGAATAGATAATCTCACAACTCACGTGATTGTCATGGAAGCAAGATCATGAAAATATTGTGTAGCTTGCAAAGTTCAAGAGATGAGGTATTTTAAATGTAACTCCTGCATACATCTTTCAAGTGCATCTTGAATAAACAAAATTGGTAACAAAGCAAGAAATATTTCAGTTGTGGATGATTAGGGTAAAAATCAGAAAAATTTCTATGATCATGAAGAAAAGATGATGGTTGAGAAATGTACTCTTCAAGTGAGACCTGTAAGGTGTCTAATCATTTGGAGAAAGACTGTTTTTTTTTAAATATAAAGGGAAGCAAATGAGATCAAGAAGGAAAGAGGAAAGTGTGCTTCTTGACAGTGAACAATGGAACGAAACAATGGTTTTTGGACTCAAAAACAACCAGCCATATGATGAACAAGCTAGAACATTTTAAGGAATAGGAAGAAATAGGAACAGAAATTGGATCAGCAAAGAAAAACCATTTCATGGAAACTATAGCAATGTTATATAATGTTGCGTGAACATTATTTCAGAAATCTATTTATCATTTCACGTGGATAGTAGAAATTCTGCGTAATCCAACTCTTATAATAAGGTATAGTATAAATTAATATAAATCTCATATGTATATGAGATTTATTTTCAATATTACTTTTCCTTCTAAATATAGAATACTTTGTTTGAATTCACTGCACTTTTCAGAATACATTATATAAAATTAGTTTCGGCTCTCTGTCGGTAACTTTACAAATAACTTGAAAATGGTAAAGAGATTTTAATATCGCAAAAGCACGAAGAAAAGAATGCATATTGTCCACACGGGCAATAATCAGAATGTATAATACCAAAGAATAGATGGCTGGTTCAGAAAATTCTATATTCGTTAAAAGAATAGTTGTTGATGCAAATTGATAAGCTACGTTATAAACATGTAAATGTTTTTGTCCTGAAAAAATAAACTTTCTTCATTTGCCTCAATAAAATAAACAAACGACTAAAATTGAATCGGAAAAGTACACACATTGTTAAGTTTACTCCATACTGTGTAAACAAATTTGTATTAATATTTAAAATATTTGTTTAAGAAATAATATTGTTTCAGTCTTATTTATTATTAAACTGCATTCCCATAAATGAATAATGAAATATAATAGGCATTTTTTAATTAATTTATTACGAATTTACCAATTTAATTAGTATTTATTTACATTAATTTTCTTATCTTATTAATGATCTTCTTTATGTTGATTCGCATAGTTCATTCAGATTTGTAGGTGTCACGGGTGCTAGGAATTTTCTGAACACATCTAATGGGCACAGCTTTTCACCACAGTAAGGAAATTTGAGAATTCGAATATTATCTTCATTTTTATAAAGAACCTATAAATAACAATAATAGAATAAAGAAATCATAAACAAATTCAAGAAATGTTATTAGCAATCTTAAGAATTTGAAAAATTTAATTCTGAAAATTCGTTGAAAATAGAAAAATGGTTTATTAAGAAATATTTGCATATGTAATTATATTATTACCTGTACATAATAATTGTCATTCACTTCGTGTAATTCAAACATAATGCAACTACCATAGAAAGGAATTTCATTATCGAAATTATCAAGTACTTCAAGTATAGGACCAATATTCAGTTCATGTGCTGCATACATAAATGCTTTTCTTGAATCACTTTTATTCAAATAGTTATCAACGTGGTTTAACCATTCGCGAATCCAAACTCCTATTGAGCAAAGCAATTTTTTATAAGATAATTAATGATAAAAATAAATAATTGAAATGATGTTAAAAAATATTGAATATAACACCGTTAAAAATATTTTGTGAAAAAATAAGAAAAGTTAATAATAGAAATAGTCGATAATGCAGATTTAAAAATTTCAAACTTACCACCTGATAATTGCTTTAATTCCATACTGGAAGTTCGAATGTAAATATCAAATATAGCTAAGTCATCTAATACTCCTGGAAAAACTGCTTTCGTCCATTCCGGTAATTTTAAACCAATTTCTTTCTACAAACATTAAATTATTAATGTCTGCGTCTTTCAAGTAAATTTAAAAAAATATCTCCGATCTATAGGCAAAATTATTTTATTGTTCTACATTAGCAAAATATTATTTTACTGGTACCTTCTTTTTCTTTTATTTTAATCACAATTTGAATTAACTAAGTCAATATGAAATTATTTATAAAAAGTAATCGATACTTATTAATTTTGTACATAGATACATATATGCATTCAGTATAAAAATAAAAGTATTTATTTGAAAATTAATTAAAAATTATTTTGTGATATCTACAACGAAATTGAAATATCATTTACCTGCGCGAATAAGTACTGACGCAACTTGAACGCATTCACTTGCGTAATATTGCCACCTGTTTGTTCGGACAAATACCTGTAGACGTTACTGTTATGTTTCTTAAACTGTACTATTTCCGCGTCCGTAGTTTCTGCGATATTTCTCAGTTTATAAAATTTTGGATTAAACTGGCCATTGTACAGGCAATCGGCTGATTGTGGCTTTGTCCATACAGGTATAGGTTGCCAATTTAAATCAGGATTCCACCTGTAAAGTTTATTGTATCTTTACATATCGCGATTCTATTCAAACATATGTAAATCGCAATTAAAATTCGATTTAACGACCTTTGCTCTTTGGTTGGCGGATACAGTCCAGCTGATACAAGTTGTGCACTTATTATGACTCTTTCTATTTCATCGGCACGGAAGACAACATCGTGGTGCGTGTAAGTTCGATCAAGAAAGTGATCGTACCTTTCTCGAAGATACTGTCCAAGTTTGTACATGTGCATTTTACCAGTCTAGACAAATTAACATTTTTTACAGTTTATCGATATGAACGAAATGTAATTTATTTTTTGTCAACCGGAAGATTCGAAGAGGTTAATATTTGAACATAAATTTACATTATGAAAATTTTGTCATTCGGTCTTAACGAATTTTTACAGTCGGAGGCATTTTAAAAGTAAAAATTTTATTTTAAAAAGAAAAAATTAAAAGCATCTGTAAATCTCTTTGTAAGGTAGGTTTATTCATTTTCATCATCATTGTTTTACTCACTATTGTTTGATAAAAATTTCAACCTTGAATATTTCGAAACGCAATTTTGGTGCAACTTTTCTAAAGAACTCTTTGACTTTACAATATTTCAAGATTTGCGTATAATAATGATTGTGAAAAAGATGACATACGTTTGTTAGACCTCCTAATCCTTCTGGTTCATAAGTATAATTGACATAAGGGTCCTTGGGATAATACATTTTTGAAGGCGTCCTGTGCCCATGTCTAAATACTGTTTGTACAAGTCTGAGATTAGCGGAAGACGCCTGACAATAAAGCAAGCAAATAACGACCCTTAAGGTCCATGGGACAACCATGTTTCTGAAATTAATGGAAACATATTTAATACCTTAACGAAATAAATTTGTTAAATTTCACGCAGTTTTAATATATCTGCTATCACTTCAATTTAATTTACTTAGAATTTTGTAATATAATATTCAATAATAATATTTAGAGCTTTATATCATACTTGAATGAGATATGAAATTTATTATAAAGACAATTAGTGGCTTGTTGAAGAAACATCAGTTATATTTCGGTATTAATAGAAATTTTACTGTATTTCAGTTAACTTTTCAATTATTATATTTACCAGATATTTATTTCAAAATTTAAAGAAATTAAAATTATAAAAAATTATTGTAATTAAGAAATAAATAAGATCTGATGTCTTACCGAATCTTGTTAACTATAACTGTGATTCATGCAACTAAGTCTTGTAAGTATATACTGTAAAATTTGTATAAGCCAGAAAGAAATCAAAGACTATGAAAGACTAATAATCTAAGAGGCGAAAGATTTCGGGCCAATGCAGTTTTGTGGATAACATTCTTATCTTTACAGATAGTATACTGATAAGGTAAATATTATCGATTTATTCTTGAACCATATCGTGTTAACAATAAACAATTTTTTATATCTTACTTTTGACCACAAAATAACGAAGTCCAACTGGAAATTTTTTAGTTAAGTTAGGACGGATAAAAATACGTGTATACTGTAACACTTGTTTGCCTTCTTGTAAATATTTTTCTCTTATTTTTGTCCATTCGTTTTATACCTATTTTTTGAACTTATGTTTTATTTATACCACGTGCCGATAATACTAACAGTTATTTTACAAATACTGACATTTAGTGAGATATAGTCCTGTATGTTTCCGGTTCTGTATGTTTATTAAAATTTCGATGACTTGCTAGTTATAGGTCTACAGCATTTGGAGAAGTACAAGCACGTTTAGAATATTGACTCTTAAAATTCGTTACATTTTAATGCTACGAATTCACTATATGGCTTGCCACTGATATTCTTTAGCTTTGTCTTCGGAAGTAATAATATATGAGAAATATACGAATAAACTGCATAATATGAATGTGTAGCCAAAAGTTAATTATATTTATAGCTATTTGTAGCCTGTGGTCAATTCTGTAGCGTATATGATTTAATATGCGTTAAATAATTTTCTAGTCACTGTAATATGAATAAAAGTTTAACTCGAATAAATTGTCTGATAAAATTCTATGAGTCGATATTGTAGAATTAAAGATTGAAGTTTGACAGGTTTGACTGTCATTTGTAATTTGACAAAATACGATTACTTTAGAAACGTTTCATATTCAATGTACACGTGAAAAAAATACAATAGCTTAACATAATATTTAATAAACTTAATAAAATATAATATTGAATGAATGCAAGTACCTGTTCTTCTCTTCTTAATAGTAACAATATTGCAATGTAATATTGGAAAGGAAAAAACAAAACCACATCCAAACTACAAGTTATGGGCCCAGGGATATTAAAGAATCGAAGTATAATACAAGACAAGCAAAAAAGAAAAAGAAAGAAAAAAGAAAAAATTGGATTACTTTAAGGAATACCATAAAAGATTGTCATTGTTTACTGAAAATAACTCTCACTCTTGAAAAAACTTTCTAATCTGAAGCTTGAGGAAGGGGAACGTATGAAAAAACATATTAAATAATCAATTGGCAGCTGTGGGTGAAGTTACTGTACAAAAGCTCTTTATAACGATGATATTAAGTAGTTTACCAGTGTCTTACAATAGTCAAGACCTCATAAACGGTCTTGAAACTAGAGTAGAAGAGGACTTAACAAGAATTAAGGTTAGTCAAAAGAAAAATCGTACTTACAAAACAGGCTATCTTGTGCAAGAGAAAGATCAGTTTATGACACGAATACTAGTACGGAGAAAAACAGGATTTTAAGAATGTAATAATCTCCGATGCACATGTATTAATCCCTAGTGAGTTCAGAAACAAATTAGATGCTTAAGAATGTAATAATCTCCGATGCACATGTATTAATCCCTAGTGAGTTCAGAAACAAATTAGATGTTAAAACAAAAAACTTATGCTTCGTTAAATGCTATGAAGAATCTAAAGCTTACTGGTTACAGAATCGAGAAACAGGAAAAATAATGATCACTAGACTGGTAATGTTTATAGAAGATTCCGCAAAGGAGGAGGAGCAAAGAGAACTATGAATCGAGGAGGATGAAAGTATACAAGACGAAATAGAATTTATGAGGCAAAAAAAAAGAAAAAACGAAATATGTTCAAGAGGAAAACAACCAGAGAATGCCATTAGCATGATTCGAATAATATGCAAAAAATCGCAATCAATGACATAACTGAATCTAGTTCCATTGCTGAGTCATCATCAAGTGCTAGTAGACAGGAATGTGAATGGGCACTGGAAAAATTTTTGTTATGCCTTATTTATCTAGGAACCTAGCAGACCTTACAAAAGAGCAAAAAGAAATAGAGTGCAGATGGGTATTTATACTAATAATGGACGAACAAGGTAATATCATAAAATTGAAATTTCTTGACTGACATACTCGCAAATATCAAGACGAAATCTCTCCGTTCAACAAGACTAAGAGAAATGCTAGGAAAGTGCAATATGTTGACATTTATAAAGAGTACTGGAGTGGAAATAAAATTATCATCCGACATATATAATTACGACATGTAACAATCTCATGATAGTGAATACATAATTATGAAAATAGTATAAACAAGCCTAATTCAGAGGAAGTGACTCATTTATACGCATTTATATATAATTATCATTACGTATTTTGATCCACTATTTTGAATCGTTTTCTCGAAACAAATTTGTAATAATCGCTTTTCATTCACTATGAACTATAAAATTCTTTCTACATTCTACAATAGTTTTCGATACAAAAAGTAATCAAGGAAGAACTTTTAAACTTTTAAAACAAACTTTTAACTTCACTCACCTGTCGCCGATATGTTGTAGACGCTGTCTTAAGTAATCAACTGCATGTGGACAATGGATAACGATTGCACGGCGATTTTTACATAACGCTTTGGAAGATGAAAATGGTACGAAATTTAGATACTGTCGAGATTTTAAAACATCTCGTCAGAGTGCAAGTGTAATCTCAGCTGTAAAAGCACACACCAATTCTTGCAGATATTAGTTCAAGCTAAAATTGATACTGGCTATTAGTACCGGAAAGCAAGAAAATTAACGTGGGAGGAATTCTTAATCTTAAACGTCGTATGACGCATAGGTCTTTCGTTGCCTGTATTAATAGCAGACCTAAGGAAGGGTATCTTTCGTGAGATTTCTCGAATTGATGACGTGTATCATGACGAATTAATTCTCACGAATAGACTGAATTAGGTAGATCTTTCAATATTTTTTGTTCATCTTGGATGTACGAAGCTGGGTATACGAACCATCACAGGATATGAATAAGAGGGAGTAAATGACTAGTGTAGGCTACAAGTAGTAAATACAATATCTATTTAAAAATTAATGTAATAATAGTTAATATTTTATTGCTTTTGAAAGATGTAACGAAGAAAGTAGTAAAATAAATTTTGTTTTGGGATTTTGTTTTGAGATTCTAAGGTTATTTGGATTTATTACAGTTAGAACTATAAATGAAAGGAAGGTGTTAAAAAATAGCCATTTTTAGCATCGCCTGGAAACGAAATATTGTCAAAAAATCATTGATGATTGGTTATATGGACGGTTATGTAGTAAATATTTGCGGATCATATCATGGGAATAAAAATGATGCATCAATTCTAAAGAAACTGTTGCTAAAATCAAATACATGGAATCAATTTGCACCGCATGATGTTTTCCACATCAATTTCTTCGAAGATGGCTCAGTATTCGAAGAAGAAGATGATGAAACATAATGTTTGGGTGAGTTCGATTTGATTTTCACATAATTTGACTCATTTTTGAAAATTTTCCCATCGTCTTCGGGCAAAGTGATAAGGACATTTTTTGTTCCTTGAGAGATGCTTTTAAAAGTCCTGCATAAACTTTTAATTTCCTAGCGAAAAATGGCCTTTTTTTAATACCCTAATATTAAATGATAACATAATTAAATGAATATAATGAATAACGAAATAGAATAATATTATAATCGTAGTTTATATGCAGATATAGATTGAACGTATATATAACCTTCTTAAACCGTTGATTATTGCAGGTATTACGAAGCTGAATATCGACAGCAGATATGTTTGTCATTGACATACAATGTATGGCAAAATAATGTAATATTTATAGTATTTCTCAAACCGTGAACCAATTTTTGTGCACGTGTCATAATAATTAAATTTCAATTATTGTGGACCGATTTCGGCGTGCACAGTATTTGTATTAATATTATTTCAAAAATTAGTCGTTGAACTTGTATTTGGCACACCTACTATAAATAACTCATGTTTAATAGACTAGGTAAACGAAATATTATAATTGTCATAGTTTTGAAATATAAACAAGAATGTATTTTTGTGATAGCAATGTATCTATGTGATAGTAATATAATTATTATTAATTTTATAAGATCTGAAAAAAGTTATCATTTACTCGTATCATAATAAACTGAGTTCAATGTATTTTGATTTATTGTACAATATTATATCTGTTAGCCATTATTTTTTTCTTTTTGAGATAAACATATTTATCTTATTTTTTTAATAATTTATACTTATTCTCTTTTTGATAGAGAACTCACCAAAATAAAAAAAAGCAAGCTTCAAATTAAATAATTGTAGTATATTCATCAAACTTTACTGCGTGTATTTATATGATTTTCAAGACACGTGGCGTGAACTGAAAAGCGCATAAATGCACTTCAGCAGGTGATAAGGAATGATAACACGCGGGTAGGTATATTTCTAGAGAAAATATGAATCATAAATTTCCTAAGCGAAGCAACATTAATATACCTGTCCAGATTCTGCATATTTCTCAAAATGAAGTTCTTAATAATCTTTGAAGAATTGTTATATACATACCTTTTATATGAGTGCAGAAGATATCAAATTCAGACATAAATACAAACTGAACGAAAATACCGCATTGACATTACAGAACTACATAAAAGATACTCGCAACTACATAAAGAAGAAATACAAGATTACGACCAAATATAACTGAGAAAATGAGGAGGAAAGAAGAAAGGAAAGAATAAAAGAAAACATGTTACTAATGATTTATATCGACACGACATAAAGTTCTAATAACAAAATAATATTATTGTAACTGCCTTGGGGATACTTCCAACTACTTAAAATCAACACGACTCGATGTCAATATATAATTGAAAAATACTTGATAGAAGAATGAAGAAAATGGAGAAAAAGAGAAAATTTGTTATCAATAATTTGGATATCCAGTGTGACACAGAGCTTCAATTAAAAAAAAATTACTAGATACTGTTAACTACTTAAAAGAGACAACTACACAACAAAATATAATTGAAGAGAAGTGGAAGAAAAAAGACGAAAAGGAAATGAAAAAAAGAATTAATAAAAAAAAGGAGAATTGCTGCTATTATTACTAATGAATATAGTAAATAATAGTATAATAATGAGTATAATAGTGGGAATAACGAAAGTGTGTTACTGCTACTAATAATTGGAATAACGAATATTGTTTTTAAGTATACTTGTACAAAATATATACAAGTGATATTAAGTACATGCTATGTACATAATCGGATATTTAAAATTGTAAATACATAAAGATAATCACTATTTAAATATGTACATATTAAATATATTGAGGAATAATAAAAAAGATATATAATTATATTTTAACACATATGTATAATTGATTTCAAATAAATGGATACAAATGCATATAAATATGTATTTAGATTAAAACAATACATTTCTAACGTGAATACATCAGGTTTTATAGCTTTGGTTAAGAAATAAATAACTTATTAAATTATTCGCGCGTTAAGTACTTTTATATATGTATGTTAAGTACGAGTTAATTATATGATATGTATAGATATCATTACATGGTTAAATACATTTTAGTACCTGATTAACAATTTCCTAATTCTTACCATACAATATAAATATAAATAATTTAATTACAAAAATACGTTTAATCGCCCTTGTACGTTTAGGTATGTTTTCTTACACATGGAATTTCGCGTAGCTAGGTCATCTTATTAATTACACCTTTGTTTGTAAAATATAAATGTATAAACTTTTTACTATACTATACTTTTATAGAAACTTTTCTATAAAAATTATTTTAATTGAACATTTTCTACTTAAATTCAAAATAAAATAGAATCAAATTTAACTATTACAGATGACTCTACAAGAGCCTCGAGTTTTATCAATAATACTGTATGCACCTAAAAGAAAATGTTCAAATGATACCTTCTTATAATGAATAATTGAAACGGTGACATAATTTATAAGATGATCTAATACAAGACAAGAAAAAAATATGGATTAGATCCCTCTTACCTAATATTTCAGCATGTTTCGGTGGTGTATAATTACTAACGCAGGTTTATAAATTAAAAGCAATTCTAAGTCCTTTTAAAGTACTCCATATTTACATACTTCATTTCTAAGATGAAGTTTCCTTTGGTTTCGAAGGAATATAATTCACGTTGAACAATTGTGATTTTGTAAATCAGTTATTTAGTTTCAATAACTCCTGCTCCTCTTATTATGTTGTACTTCAATAAGTTTAATTCGTCGATTGTCTTCCTGTCTATGAAATCGTCTGACAGATTTTTATCACAAATCAATTCTTCGTTTGATGGCATTACTTTCTCTGTCAACTCTAAATACTTGTTCAGAGGGCAAAGTACTTCACAACCAGGTAATTGTATGTCTTTTGCTTTGGATGGAATGCCCAAATAGTTGAGTACCTGCGATAGTAACACATAATAAAATATAAAAGATGTTATCAGTGTTCAGTACAATTAATAAGAAGAATTAATAAATCAAGATGAAATATAAAACTTATTTTAAAGTCAAACTATGTTAAATATTTTTAATAAAATATGTTTCCCTTCGAGTGATAATTAATACGTTGTTTTAAAATTATATAATTATTTAAAAATTAAATTAAATTTAATTACAAAATTAATTTCAACATTATGTAACGATAACTTTCCTTTGAAGTTTTTTCTTTTTAACAGAAAGATAATGCTTTTTTGAGATGTGATAAAAAAATTATTGTTAGTCAAGTAGATTGAGAATCATATTTCCACTTCAGCAAACATATCAGTTTCCTTTATAGATAAGCGTTTTTTATCGTACCAACGATAAATATTCTTTTAATGTAATTCTTTGATTAAGAAATTTTTCAATTATCCCATTATAATTAATATCCAATATCGAAATCGAACATACAAATAATACAAATAATTACGAAAAATCGAGAATGCGAGTAATTAACGTAAGGATATCAGACTGTTAATTATTAATAAATTGAAATTTTTAAAATATCAAATATATTGTAAATGTTAATTTTATCTATGTCTTTAGTATTCATGTATCTCGAGAAGGAAGGCGCAGAAATAAAACGAGATAAGCTCCGATATACTCCGATGCATTCTCTGTTTCTTGACTTTAAACTCTGACCATTGGTAATTCAGACGATAATCCACTTGTCATCGTTGTCAAAAGACTATGTTCGTAAAAATGAAATTAATTGTCCGATGTCGACTTCGAAGTTACTTTCCGATACTCTGAACATTTTCAGAAATACTTATATGTAACTTGTGCACGTATGATTAGTCTCTCATTACGTACCTTTACATAGTAAGTGTCTTCGATAGAATGGAGCTCAATTATAACAGAACTGGAATACTCAGGAACGTGGGGATAATAAGCACCAAGAGCGTGCAAAACAGCTGCAACATTGCTCTCGTGTCCACTGTACAAATGTATCTTCTGTGCTTGCCTTTGTGTACCGGTTACGACATCCAACATGTTCCTTGTGACGATTCGAAGATATGGACCTGAAATTAATAATACAAATCTTAAATATATAAAATTCTAAAGGTGATATAAAAATTGTAGCTTAAAGATGGTAATCGGTAAGTTTAAAATTAACGAAACCGATACTGTGTGAGAATAATTTAAACAATTTAATTTAAATAATTTAATTAAAAGTTAGAATATGTTAATGTTAAAGGAAGAATTTTGTTCTCAACTGTAACATTTAGAGAATAGTAATAATAATAAAACGTTAGAATAAAAAGGATAGAATAACAATAAGTAATATTAAAATAAAATAATAATAATAACGAAATTAGAAGAAATTAAAAATTAACAAATTTTTCTTTTTAATGGTATTAAGAGAATTGAATTGTATTACCTCCATACAATCTTTTTAATAGAGGAGTCGAGTTGGCAATGTCATATGAAAATACTGTGGCGTTCCATAGTTCTCCGTATGGAAATATATTTTTTGTCCAATTTGGTAAATTATAACCGAGAGAATATTCAGCCATCAACGTATGATAGAGATTATACAGATCCCATGGTGTAGATATGTTCTTTCCAGTCCAGACAGTTAATTCTTCCATAAGTTTATTGTATTTGGCAAGTTCGTGTTTTCCTTCAGGAGATTGCAATACTCTCTCATATTCAACGTTAAATCTAGGGAGAAATTACAAAAATTAAAAATCGATATTTAACAAATTTTTACAATAGCTAGCTTTAGCTTATGGAAGCGATTTACTTAATCATATTTAATAGAAAATTCACAGGATATTTGAAACGTTTGGATTTAATTAACGAACACGACACTAGTATTCGATTTTACTTCGTTTCTTTTCTTCAAAAAATTTGGAGTATAAAAATACAATCCATGATATAAACAAAAGGTTCATTTTAACTTACAAGAGACAATCCTCAGGAAGAAAAACGTTGTCTTCGTAGCGTCGTAGATATTGTGCTGGAATTGGCTGCCAATTCAGATGCTTATTCCACGTTTGTAAATTATTTGGTGGGTAAAGTCCCGCAAGAACGAGTTGCAGGGACATTTTTGTCCTGTCATAATCCGAACTAATAGCCGAGACGTATTCTGACATATAAATATCACCCAAGAATGCATCGTACTTCTGTCTCAGAAATCGTCCTAGTACGTATTCTCGCATTTTTCCTTGCTAAAACATTATTTAATACTGTAGCGAGAACTACTACACTCTTACTTTTTTTGTAGCATTTGTTGCTTAATTTGTTGATTAATTTTAATAGCAACTACGATTCAACTAAGTTTCAGTGCACGCTTTTGCAGCAGAAAGTTTCTCAAAAGAAAAAATTTTGTTTTAAGAACGGAAAAATTATAAATCTAGGAATTTATTTACACAGTAGTCCTATTTACTTTTTCATCTTTGTTAGTAAAAACAAAACTTATAAGTATAAACAAAACAATAAATTGCAGATTATCTTCATTTTCGTAGTGACGTTAATAAAGAACAAAAGGTTAATATACAGAAATAAAATTGATAGATTGAAATTACTAGAAAAGTATGATTGTTTGCAACGTTCAAACATTCAGACAAAAACAATTGTCAAAAAAACAATACAAATTTGGGAAAAAATACTTACGTTGGTCAACTGACCCCGACCCATTGGATAAAAGTCATTGTTTAAGTAAGGATCATTCGGATACTTCTCGTTATCATTATTATCAGGCGTTCTATCTCCGTGTCTAAAAACCTGTAAAATTATTCATATTACTCACAAGAACCAACTAAATCTCCTGCTACGGTCAATATTTCAAAAAATTTCTACTAGTTTCCATTTTTGAATGTTCAACGCATGTCTTAAACGAAAACCCTATTTTCATTCAAAAGTTTCGAGACTAGGAACTGCTTTAAATATAAATAACCGAGTTTCTTACCACATTCACTAGTTTAAGTTCTGCATGAACAGTTGTGACACCAATCATCAAAACCAAACTCACGATGACATACATGAGGAAACCTCTCAGACCGTTAAACGAGATCATATTGTTCGTATTGCTTTCGACCTAAAAGCAAAAAATGAAAATTCATCATCGAAACGTGACAATTAAAAAGTTTATTAACGAAACATCGAATTATCATTTTGTAAATCGAATTTTATCTTAGAAGTATACTTTCTGAACTGAATTTTGGCAGTTGTATTTCTTTATGTTTAATTTATTAGACTAAATTGTTTAACTAGCTTAAATTCTACGTATATTATTTATATGCCTTGAAGTTACATCGAGTTAATTAACAAAGGAAATTTTAAAGATTCAATGTATCAAATTTAAAGATTCGATCGTTGGACAAATACAACAGGCTTATAAATTAAACAGTTCAGTTGTGGTAAGTCGTAGTTGCAACATCGTAAACCATTAATTGATAGAGTGAAATACGACTTGGCGTATATAAATGTTAATTGTGCACTCTGTTGCGCACAAATGTTAATTTTTAAGTGTAAACATTCTTACAGGAAACGGTAATTTATGATGAAACCGGTATGTCCTATGAACGTACGATTTGCATGAGTTTGCCATTATTAAGTATTCCCATAGAAAAACACCTACAGCCTTACTACGTCTATCCAAAATAATTTTTAACACTATCAAATCAGTCAAAATTCAGAACGACTGTGCCAGAATCCTCATTTTTAGAATTACTGAAAATTGTGATAAGTTAAAATCAATGTCTTCAAACTCAAATTGTCTTTTCATATGACACTATGAAAAAGACGTAAATATGAATAAAACGTGTCAAAGAATACCATGTAAAAGATATAATATAAAAGATGTTCAAATATATATGTACACCCATTCATTACTGTATTATTACATATACTGATTACTTAATTATTATTATTTATTTATACAATATTTAGACAATGAATATACAATAATAATTTTTTATACTTGTGCAGCAACGAGCTAAAGTACGCGATTTACTTACCCCTTAAGCACTGTTATAATACCAATTTTAATGGCACAATGTCACCAGGCAATTTGCAATACCGAAGTGTCGATTGTGAGACTAGTCAGTGAAATACTGATCATGTTGCCTATGTGCAAATGATTTTAAAGGAGAGTAACACGTCAAACGAACATATCTTTCTTTGAAATAATTTCACGAACCCACGAAATGGAAGTCCCCATTTCAATGTCTATGCGGTATTGGTATAAGCTTTCATCATTAAATTAATAGAATACAAGACAAGGAAAACCATATTAGGGTTTTGGTGCTCTGACGTACATTCGATCTGATGTATTAAATGAAAATATACGTCGAAATATATGTCTGCATACATCATGGGAATTATCAGGATCGCTACAAGTATAGTAACACTCATGTAAGGAGGAACTTCCTGTTAGGTTATTCCTCTCGCCCATTTCCTTCCTTTTTCTTTTCAACCTCATCCTTATCCTACTTATCCTTATAAAAATTTTCCTAATATTTAATTATAGATGAAGTATCATCTGAGAATTGTTCTCAGTAAAAGTATGTCTAGTAGTTCTGATTCGAGGGATATGGATTATTTTCTTCTCTCTCATTTTGACAGGTGGTATTTATTAAATTTGTGTATTACATAGGGTTGTATTAGTATAAGTAAGTTGTATTAGTAGTAAATACTAACACGAGTGGTATCGAAATTGTAACATACAAAATTATGAAGTTATTAACGTGTATTTATGAGACACGAAAAGTTTTATTTCCCTTTTTTGTTCTTTATCAAATGACATTTATTTTATTTTTACGTTAAACAATGAGTATATTACAAGTAAATTATTGATAGGTACACGTACACTAAATTTGTAACATGCAAATTTGATTTTTGTATTTTTATGTAAACAGTAGAATTATTGTGAATATGGCGATGTGGAAGAATTTATATTTATATTTATAAGAAGCAATTATCTTAAAATGTTCTAAATCAATATTCCAAGAATACAAATATAATTTTGTTTTTTATCTTTTCCTTAATGAGCCTAGCAATACTTAATAATATAACATTATCTCAATAGCCCATTTTATACGTATCAGATAAAACGTATTAACGAAATTGAAATTTAAAAAATTACATACTACAAATACTCGGAATAGCGATAATCACGTATGTAAATCATTAGCTTGATACCTCAGCAAACAACTTTGAAAACGAAACTTCTACTTTATACTTCATACTTCCGTATTACGACTTTTGTTCCTTATTCGAATGGATTTCATTTCGAATCGATTCTCTATTAAACAATTTTATAGCTTCGGCAAAAACTAAAATCGCACAACCATGATCTGATCGTTAGACGAGAATCGTTAAACCGTGAAATCTGCAGTTCTGCGGAAATGATATTCATGAAAGATCGTTCGATAACAAACGATGAATTTATACAAAAAATTAACCGACCTCCGATTTCACGGATACGAACTCATAGTTACATAAAGTTGAAGAATAATGAATAACAAACGACTAATACATTATAGCGGTGTGACTGACATTTGATGCTCAATCGAAAAATCATTAATTTTCATGCAATAAAGATCCTTTTATGAGAATATATTAAATTTATTGTATGAAAGGACTCCTTTTACACGGTATTTGTTTACTTTTGTATAATTACTTATTTAATCAATTATTTTTTGCACAGTTTGCGCTTTTTACAACAAATTTTACACTTTGTCGTCAATCGATAGTTTCAGGAATTTTTTCACATGATTTCTTTTTACACCGTACGCTTTCGCCGTGTAAAAGGAGTTCTAAATGTATTTAGTATTTTATGAATAATTCAATTTATAATTTATATATCATTGTTATATCCTACGTGTAATATATTGTTTCAAATAGAATCTCACCAAGAGAGTTAATAATATTAAGGAAACAAATTTCTTCTACCATTATTTCATACAGAGAAATAACCTAATACATATCTTCTTTCACGACATTAAAATAAAATAACCAAATATGTTAAAAAGTATTTCACAGAAAAACTGAATTTCACTGACAGTAAAAGCAAAACTAACTCGCATTCAACTTCTTTAATACACCAATATTAAACTAAAATATCGAATATTCTGAACAAATAAATAAATGATTTCATAAATAATTAATATCTTACCTATGAAGACCTTTTCCAGTTAGGACATAAACGAACGTGAAGTCGTTCGAATCTAATAAGAATGGTTGATATCGAAAGTTTCACAAATTTTTATTGTAGTACCATTTGACGGCATTTAATACACTTTCGGTTCTTTCGCACCTCTGCTTTTGTAACAACTAACGAAATACCGTGAATATTTCACGTAAAGTATGGAAAAGCGAAATTTTTATCTAACTCGAAACTAAACATTCTCTGAATTTAAATGTTTCAGCACTGTTGATAAGTTACTCGCGTACTAATCGCGGCATGAACACAACGAAATACATTATCTCGACAATTATTCGACCAACAACTCACGATACGATCGTTAAATCGTTCGTGATAAATGAGAATCTCAATAGTGCTTAAACAAACGAAAACAGCCTGGCCACGTGAAAATAATCTCGAGATTCGATTTTTGAGGTAATCGATGACAATGACAGATAAATGGTATAAATAAGAGTGGAATATTCTCTTGTCTCCGATGCTATGAATTTCTGGTTAGATGTTGCCTTCGTAAAGATAACTGAAATGTATTCTTAATCTAAGTACGTCAACGAACGTTAATATACCCGTTATTATAACGAAACGTTCGGTGCATGCTTAGCACGTGGTCACATGTTTTATCATGTGAATACTGTCTTCAAACCTGAAATTTCCCAATGATAAAATTCACGTTTTATGCTACCACTGTATACATTTAGACTGATACCTACGAAACTGGTTTATAGAAACTAGGTTAATGATAAGGGAAAATGATCGATAGGATAATTATTCTTTCGACCACTTGTGAAATTGTTGAAAAATTCACGGAACTTCAATTATTTAGGGAAAGTGGCATTAAATGGCTTTCTCTGTAAGTAGCTTTTAATGGAAACGATATATGAAAATCAGTAAATTTTATGACACAATCGATCAGTAAAATATTTCGCCATACGTTTATAATATAATTAGTCTGTTCACTGCTAAAATGTAATTTAGGGTATAGAATATATTAGTACAAAGTGATAAGTGATTATAAAAATTAAATTGAGACTGAAAAATGGGTTCGATAATATAATAGATCAGAGAAATGTACGATTATACATATAATTTAATTACCTTATGTTTAAAATAAATAAAAGAAATGCGAAATATGACATGTTTTAAAAAATTTATACTGCAAATCTAATTATAGAGTATAGAGTATATTTTGTCACTTTTTGAAATGCAAATAAATGTACGAATTTATCTGATTTCTTTTGATTCTTTTAGGTTTGATTAATTTATTTGATTGCCTGATAGAATATAGAATATTACAAAATTCGATTCGAATTGGAGATCATGATACTATAAAAATTGAATCAGATTAATATTCGCAAAATTCGACAATAAAATTGTATATGAAAATATATGAATATACGTTGAATTTAATTAATTTATATTTGGAATAAATACACAATGAGTACGAGAAATATATTACGTTGTAATAAAGCACCTTATAATGTAGATTATGATACTTATGGCAATGACAGAAGGGTAAGAGTACACGTATAAATTGCACGTATGCTCGAATATTTCTGTCATTGATTATATCTTACTTGTAGGTGTCGGAAAATTTATTTATTTAATTGGGAATAACTGTAATAAAATGACCTTTAGTATCCTAAATAGATAATAGACGACAATGAAATTTCTATTCTTGAGTTATACTAATTTAAAAATGAAAATAGCACTTCCGTACATTGAATTTAATTAGTAATAAATGTCATAAATACTACGTATAATTCGTTATGTATATGAAGATATTAAACACAACGTTACATTATATATTAATCGTATATTCCTGATCAACATCTGTATGTACATATATTGACTAACCATTAAAAACGTTTCAACCATGGATGTTATATCTATGTGATACAGTTACCCATAGATTATATAGATAAATATAATAAATTATATACATAATAATATATATAATATAATATATATAATAAAAGGTATATGCTTAGTTTGTATCCAATGTATTACAAAATAATACATTTACATGTAATAATAATAGGAACATTTTCTTTTTCTACATTTATTATTTGAACATAATGGAGGAATTTTTCATTAAATGTGCCCATATGTCGAATCATAGTACAGAGATTAGATTACGAAACATTGTTCATCGATTCCGAGAATTATTAATTGCAAATGATACGATTTATCTCGATTTCTATTCAAACGTTTATGTAGTCTGTACTTTCTATTATATTGTTCTACTTGACGTTTTATTCTTCTCAGAGATAGTTTCCACTGCTTTGTTCTCTTATTGCTTTGTTTAATTATATTGATATCATAAAAAGTGTCGCTTATCTTAAAAAAATTTCATAAATTTTTTCATTAGTTATATTTCACTTGATGCTCAATATTTTATGCTTAAATGTGTTATGTTGCTTTTTGTTTTTAAGACTGACAAAACGAAAATTATCTTTAGATAAATCAAATAAATTAGGTAGAATTGTAATTTTAAGCTCCATTTAATCATATTCTTACGTCCAAAATTCCCATTATCTGACGTAATAAAAAAAGAAAACAATACCACTATTCGTATAAAAATATAAATATAATCAGCTTTATCTAAAGAATTTTTTAACACAAGAATAATAAACATTAAAAGTCAATATCATGACAATGACAAAAATTTATCGACTTAAAAAATTAGAAAAATATTTTAATATTTGATTATTTTCAAAATATTACAACATTCGTGACTTCTTATGTTCCAGAATAGCGTTATATCCGTAATAACTAAGCAATTATTTCTCTTAGCAGTTTAGTTAAATAAATAAATATTATCCAGAAACTACATTTTGCTTTCATTAATTTCAGCAAAATTACAGTAAAAATGAACTAACATATCTAACCAGAATACCTCAAATCTTCATTGTAGTAAGATATATTACATAAAATAAGTAAATAATAACTGTTCAAAACTTCACAAGACCAAAATATGATTCTCTAACTGATATAATAAAAAGAATACCAAGAAATACAAATAAATAAATAAATACATCCTATCATAAAATAATAATAATAAAAAATAAAAAATTAAACATTAAAAATCCCTTAAAAATTACAAAGTCGATTAAATCTGATCATACGTATATCGCTAACTCGAAGCTGCATTAATAAAATGAAATAAAGCCGAAATGAAAACATTAGAAGGAAAAGGAACGATATAATAGGCTCGAAATGTTGACATGCATGAAAAAACAACAAACGATTAAGATGTTCTTACTGTGAACTCCGATGTCGTCTGTATGCCAGTGATAGATTCATAGAGTATCACGAGTCCAAACAATCTAGACAGTGCACGCTTTCATTTTATAAGATCCGTGATCTTTTGATTGCGAAGCTTTATAGCTGGTGGCGAACTGATTGCCAGGAATTATACAAAGCCCAGAAGATCGCTACCTTTGATAAGTTGACGATTTCACGCGAAGGTTACCGATTAAATTTATACACAGCTAATGCACGGAACAGCTCGGAGACACATCGAGAAATACTTTATCTGATCGCTATCATCACACCAGAGGAGCAGACACTGCGATGCGGTTACCATGGAAAGTTAGAACAAGTGTCAGCATCATTACTATATCGCGGTAACTACGAAAACATCGTCTGGTAAATAGCTGTAAACATACCGGTGAATAACTCCTCAGTCGTTCGTCAGTCCAGTAATTGTGCAACTGTGTAAGGAAGCAAAGAATGTCATATTATTGACGAAAGACTAGAAGTAAGTGAAAGTATTTCGAAAAACGTCTTTTCTATTGCCATTTCCACATGCCTTTTTGTTTCTTCGAGAGAACAAAAGACTTGAAGATCTTTTTGCATGTAAGAAGTGTGAAGATACATATTATACAGTGAGTCACAATGTCCCGTTTTATTGTCCAATTTGAGTCGTTGTTATTTATTTATAGCACATTCTATCTCATTTTTATAGAGTATTATATGTTGGAATTCCTAAGTTTTCAAAACGTTTTAAATTTGATTGAGAAACGACATGTTAAGTTAACAAACTACGATAAAATTCATAGGAATATTCGTACTGTACAAATTCTATCGATAAAGAATCAACGAATAAGACGGAGAAAAATGTATTTGCAAATATTTTTATATTAAATTGGTATAATCTCTTCGGTGCAAATATTTCTGTGATACGAGTTTTGTTGAATTTTCGCCAAAGTTTTGCTTCGATTTTTATTATTATTAACATCTTTTCTTACAATGAAAGTTACAGTGTCTTGGAAGCTTAGCTATTCCAACGTACTATACCCTTAATAAGGATTTCATAATTTTAAAAATAGGAAAGGTACGTATATTTCTGTGAATCACTGTATAATAAAGAACGAAAATTAAGTAGTTACTAATGGAATCTCGAAGTAAGACAAATTATTTTTAGGGGTTTATATAGTGGAACGGAAACAAAAAGAACTAAAAATGAAAGTGATGGTGTCCATTTTGAGCCTGCTATATATATCAACGGTACCTGTTGAATGTACACCAGAATTGCAATTAGTACAGATAGTAAGAATCGAAGCGTTTAAATATTATACAATAGGAATCAAATAATATTTGAAATATGTTTAATTCGATCATTTTTATATTTGAATAAATTTTAACAGAAGTAGTAAGTAGTGACGTAACACTTGAACAAATTTTTCAGGTATTTGCACATAAAACGTACGCGCCAATTTTAGATCTAATAAACAGTAATGATACCAATTTACCTGATAATTTAACATACGAATATTTCAACTCTGCTCCACTAAATATGCCAAACGTAAGTTTGCATGTTCATTTGCTTCACTAGGATGTGAGATAAATTAAACAAGCTCTATTAGCCAGAGAGAGTTTAACGCCATCATTAATAATTTTTAACTGGCACACGAAATTAAAATTCGGTATCAGAAAAAATGTGAGTTAATTATATTCGCACACTGCCTGCAAGTAAACGTAAATATTGATGTTGATAAGGTAACAAGTGTGCTTATATAACATATTTTACCTTTAACAAAGAGCAATAAGTGAAAAAAATGAGTATGTATCCTTTTAATCGCACTCGATTTAATAGTTTTTATTAAATAATAAGTAATATTATATAATAATATTATAAGTAATATTATTTAATAGTAATATAAAAGATATTATATAATATTATATATAATAAATAATGTAATTAATGAAATTTCAATGTCATCTCTATTAACATTATAAAATTGCTTCAAAATTGTTATCCATCCTTTTTCCTTGAAAGAAAACAAATTACGTTTCATAATTGACACTTTTATTGACCTATTATCAGTGTTATTTCCATTATTTATGGGTATCTTGCAGCTATGTGGAAAATTTATATATTTTGGCTCGTTTTTTGCTAATTATGAAAATTAATTCTTATCATTGGCATTAAACATTTTTCCTATGGAGACAGGAAAATCCTCACATACTAAATGAAAATTATATTTCCACATACCGAGCATATTCAGCAGTAATTCCAGATTAGTTTTATTCAACAGACCAGTATGCTTAATATGTATAACTTGGGGGTCCATTTTCGTGAGGTATACGATGAATTTCTGGGTGATATTTTCACAATCGAGACGATGAAAATGCAAACAGCCGAATATCCGTTATCGATGATATCTGGTCAATTAGTGAATTCAGGTCTGTGGCCTCCAGCAGAAACTCAAAAATGGAGCACCGATATAAACTGGCAGCCGATACCTACAGGTATTTAAATGAATAACACGACTAAAAAATTCCAATAATTAAAGGACACAGGAAAATATTGGAACTAATCCATTTTCCTAGATTACGTGTACACAAAAAAGGACGCTTTGTTACTCGGAATACAATGTCCAAGCTTCCTTCTAGAAATGGAGAAGGTGTTGAATATGGATGAAGTGCAGGAAAAATTATCGCATTATTCAACGTTATTCGATCACGTGTCTCAAAATACTGGTGTGAAAATTCAATATCCGTCGGAAATGGCTCTATTATATGCCGTTCTCGAAACGAAAGTAAGTTGTCGGAATTAACAATTCGTTTTAAAATAGAAGACAAATATGTCGGTGATTATAAGAGTGACCTAAGTCACTAATGTTTTATAATAAATATATCATCATAAATACATCATAAATTCAAAAATGAATTTTGAATGTTATTGCAGGCTGATTTGAACCAATCACTTCCATATTGGGCAAAAGATATATTTCCTGATGGAGGAATGTACAATGTGTCGTTGTTACAGTACGATCTTCTTTGGCAAACTGAACTGCAAAAGCAATTAAATGGAGGAACGATACTTAAAGAAATTTTAGCAAATTCGATTATGTACATCCAAGGAGACATACCTAAACAACGGAAGCTTATGATATACAGTGGTAACGAAAGAAATATCGTTGGAATTTTAAGAGCTTTGAACTTATGGTCGCCACATATCCCTCATGAGGGAGCATCTGTAATTTTTGAACTGTATTTTGACAATGAAACGATAAGCCATGGGATAAAGGTATTTTTTTGAAAATAATTTGTTATTTTTGAACAGTTAAGGTATTTTTGAATGTTGATTGTAAAATAGAAACTAACGGTAAGTTTATGAAATGAAGATAAGCAAAATCCGAAAAATATTGTATGTACAAATGTTTAACACGATATATCTTTACTTCACTAAGCGCATCGAAGAGTAAAGATTGATTTTTCAAAGAACTTTTCTCTTACTAAATATTTTTAAGTAAACATCATTTTGTAAGTAGACATTATTCAATTTTACTTATTAAATTAATTGATGGTATATATTATATTTTAACAATATTTTAATGACCAATGTTTATATGTTTTGTACAAACCGAAAACGAAATAAATTAATATCGAGTAATCATTATAATTTGTTAGAATATATCTAAATCACACCATTTCAAAAATGTAATGAAATAATTTTAAAAACAGTTTCTTTTAAATGTAATTTATTATTTTTTATTTAACTATCTAATTTTATTAATTATTTTACTTTTACCGTTTTACTAATTGTATTTATAGTTTTAAAAACATACATAATATAATAATATTTTTTGAAGATAATTTCTATTTATCAATGGTATTGATAACATTAATAGCATTAATTACATAATATAACATTATTATAATTATACATACACACATCAAACAAATATATCATTTAGATAATATCAAATCTCTTAACTAATTATACTTATCGTACAATTGAAAAATATAAATGGATAAAAATAAATACATTGTTATCATTTCAGATTAATTACTACACGGGAGTAGATGATACCACTGTTCCATTGAAAATATCGAATTGCACAGAAATCTGTCCAGTTAGAACATTTCTGCATTCAGTATTTGACTTATTACCGCAAAATGAAGAACGATTATGTAACTGGGAAAAGATTGATCTTTTCTCTAATATGCATGTAATACTAAATGATACTATTTATAGTAGATCTGTATCGCATACATTGGAAATTATTGTACTTTCTCTTACGTCGATAATTATTTTATTCGTTCAGTAATCAATTTATATAAATTAATTTAGTCTCGATGCAAGTATACATTAACATTATATCAAATAATTCTCAATAATTGAAATCTCTATACTTCTAATAACAATTTAAATTAATATCACATCGCATTATATAAGAGAAGTGTACAAAATATAAGTTAATTAATCGTTATTAATAGTTACAGTGATAATTAAGTTGTCATCACAATACATAACTGGTTCTATAATTTTTAATAAAAATTATAAGAACTAAATGTAGAACAAAAATTGCATTAAATATTTTTATATTTCATTTTCATATTTTATAATGTATAGAATTATAAATTATACATAAAAATGTTTAATAGTAGGTACATATTATAATACATTAAAATTACGTTAAAATTGCTATACTTAAAACAAAATTATTTAATTACATGTCAGTAACTTAACTAATATTCGTGATTTTTTAGCAAACTGAATAAAATTTTCCGTAGCAATTACTGCAAAGTCATCCAGAATTATTAACCATCGTCGTTCTCTTGTTTGCATGTTATCCTCTATTATTACACCCTCGAAATTCAATTGTTTTTTCCATAAATCGACGACAGGTGGTATTATTTCCTCTTCGGATTGCTCATTCCTTTTACCACAAAATATTACACGATATTTTTCGAAACAAAATGTTAAAGCGTAGAATATGATATGTAATTGATTTATTACACTATATATATCAGCTTTTTTATTATTTTCTAGAGAGGTTAAAATATTTTCATAAAATTTTACTTTCGCAGTTAGATAATTTATCATTTCGATACAAATTTTCGTAGAATTGCATAGTTGTAAAATAATGGAGACTTGATACGTTAGTATTGTAACCTACATAGGAAAAATGTAATATTATATAGAATATATAGAAAAAAGAAAAATATAATTTAATATGATAGTTTGTATATTTAAAATGAGATTAGTTTCTTCGAACGATATTATAAATTTTTTAATTAAAAAGCACATATAAACATTGGCATATTTCATTATTTTATTTCTTAAATATCTCCTTATAATATGTATATTGTTTTTAGCTCTAACACTTAAGTTTAACATTGGGTAACATAAATAGCATTTAATTTAAGTGTCTTGCGCAGTATTTAATTTTCAATTAATAAAAAATATTACACTTATTAACGAAATTGTTTAAAATAGATAAGAATATGTAATTTGAAACATTATTATATAACTTTTTCAATAACATAGTACAAATTGTAATTTACCTTGTTTAATTCAGTAGTTCCTATAATTTTGTCTAGAGTACCTATAGCTATTTGTACAATTTCTTGTGTATATATGTTAGTTTTATTTCTGATTTCAGAAATATCACAAAAATCCAATATAGCGTTTACAGCTTGCTGCTCTAAAGTACCTTTCCAACATCTTTTTCTCATATATTGTGTTGCTATCTGCTCATGTTGAAGGACTGAGAAAATCATCTTTACCGATTGAAAAGTAACAGCATCTATATTTAAAGTATCCAGCATAAATCCTAACCATTGCGAAGAAATCTTCTCTTCCTTTTCATAGATCTTAGACACGATCGATTCATGAACAGATTTTAATTTTTTTTCCTTACTGCCCCTTTTCTCATATTCTATATCTTCAATTAAATTTTTACATCTCTGTGAATTCCTACTATACGTACACGATTTTTCACTGTTACTGTTCATACTTCTATTGTTCTCTTGGTAGAAAGGAGATAAACATAGTTGCTGATTTTGATCGAAAATTGAACTTTCCTTGGTTATGTCTATGGTAAGAAATTCCAAGTCACGTGTATCATTCGTACTTTCGTTTCTTTGATAAGGAGTAATGTTCTTGAGTTTCTGACTATAAAATGTACTAACGTCTTCTTTTTCGCGATTGCAGTTTGTATACGTTGGTATACGTTCTACGCTCAGTTGGTAGGTATCATAAGCGCTATCTTTTTGAGGAGATTCAACATCTTTAATTTGACTCGATGAAATAACAGGACAATTATCATAAAAATTCCAGTCCCAAGCTTGTGTCAGTGTCTGTCTACTCGAATCTGAAGTTAATTGTATTCTTAATTGACTGCGGTTCTGTTTATATAATGAACAATTCTCGTTAAGTAAAGTGATGTTTGAAAAATTATTATCATCTGAAGGAACAACGAGATCATTTTCCGCTTCCAAATAAGCGTTCTTTAAGGCATCGTTATTTTGAACAATTAGTGAACATTCTACTGATTTTTTGTTGGTAAGGTCACTTTCTTCAAGTAGTTCACTAACTTCGTTTCCCACTGAGTTACTAGTATCTTGCCTCTCCAAAGAATCTCTAAACATGTCTGAACTAGAGGAATATTCTTTATCTGAATCTGGAACAATGTAATTATTCACAACTATATTTTGTTGCGTGTTAGCTTGAATATTGAAGTATCCTTCAAGACTTTGGAAAGAAGCAAAAACGGATGGATTGATTTTCTTTTGGGTGGAAATTGCATTTTCTGGATTTATTTGTTGATTGTAAGTTTCCTGTCTGTGTCTTTTATTACGTTGTATGTTACACAATAAATCGATACTACTCGTATACACTGAATCATCGTCAAAATTCGTATCACTTTCCTGTTTATTGCTTAATGGATTAATGAAATTTTTTTGATCATTCCCTTCAATATCAGACTCTTGATTACAGAGAACAAAATTTTTACCTATAAAAAATATAAGTATTTTTTAAAATACAATTATTTGTAACTAAATATTCATTTTTATATAATTGTAATATATTAAAGATTCATTTATATATATAATGATAACTTCAACTGACATATTATTATTAAATGTTTAATATAATTTAAAAAATTTGTATACATTTTTATAAAAATGCAAAATACAAAATATCTATAAAAAATTCTACAATATAATTTAAATATTATGACTTTATTTCAAAAAATGAATTATTTAATGTTTATTAATTGTAAAATAAACTACTAGATAATTCTAGACTTATAAGTTAATCAAACAGGAAATAATGAGATAAAGCATAATCAAACATATATTAGACAATTTTATCTTCTGGTAAAAAAAAGAAGTTCTATTACATCATATAAAAGATATAGTTTGAAATTACAATAAGCTTCAGTAATTAATATTATTTGACTACAGAATAATTATAATTAATATTATTGTATATTACTACAATTTTAATGTAGAAACAAAATAGTATTTAATTCTACGTTTTCGAACTTAGCAAATAAATTTACTAAAATAATTTATTTGTTAAAAAATTTATTTAAGAGATAATTTAAGACAATAATTTGCAAAACTGTCATAAATGAAATAATCTTTAATAAATTTCATTTTAAATTTGATTACTTAAAAATTATATTACATATTTATTAAATATCAAATCTTGTTACCAATGTTTGTCCATTGTTTATAAAATATCAAATGAAATTGTTCAACAGAAATATCTCTCATATACATTGTGGCTGACTTTAACCAGACTATACTTTGTACAAAATTTAAATCAGCCACATATTCTTCTGTGTAATCTGATATATTCTCACAAGCTCCAATAAGATTTTGAGGTATATTTAAAAATTGTTTACACCGACAACAATCAGTATTGTTATTGTCAACAATTTTTTTTAATTGCTTCCTGTTCATTTCTATTAAAAGATTTTCCACAACAGAAGAGAACAATCTTCTGTCTGTTTTTGATAAATTACTTGTAAAATTATCTGTATTAATAATTATATAAAATAATATGTTAATACTAATAGTGATTTGAAATGATTGAATTATAATAAAGATATTCGTAATAATTTTCGAACCACCTAATTCGGATGAATGACAGTACGAATATCTGTTATATGAATGCTGTAATTCAAAAAGAATTTTATTCCGATTCTCTACATGAAGTTCCAATTGTTTATTTTTATTAGGGTCGTTGCTCGTCTAAAATAGAATGGGTAACATATTGAATTATAAATAAAAAAAGTCTTAAACTGTACTATTATAAATTATTATACCATGTTTATTTATATTCTTTTAAAATAATAGAATATTTCACTGAATAAAATCATGCAATGTTTTTAAAAGTATGTAACTTATAATACAGCATTGTTAAGTACAATTAAAACTGTAAGCAAATGTGAACACACGTTTATATGTTTTTAGCTTTAAAATCTACTGCGAGTATAGACTGATAAAACAGAATATTAAAATGAAGATAACATCTAAATAAGAATACATCTTAATAGTTTACGTAACACCACTGTATTGTAAATGCAGAAAAATGAAATTTGAAAAGATTAATATATAAATAATAATTAGAAATATATTTTTTTTATTACATTACCGGGATACACAAAAGATATTAGCAAGCTTTTTTTCACAATTACCGATTGGTTTAAAACAGTTTTGTAACGTATCGTTGGAAATGGCATTTTAAGAAGCAGTTTCACGTGCTTCCGGTTTATTGATCGAACCGGTAAGGACATGATAGTTTAAGTAAAATAACGGGAGCAAAGTGATTTTGATTTTAATATTATTACTTCAACAAAATATAATATTTAACTGTAAATATGAATGCACTTGCTCCTGAATCCTTATCTGATAAAGAAAAGAATGAACTTATGCAACAAATTAAGCAAGAAGTTGCCGTTGCAAGTGCACAAGAAATGCTTTCGGTATGATTGTAAAAGTATATTTCTTTTTTCTTTATAAATCTTAAAATGAATGAATAGCATATAATTGATTTCATATTTTTAGAAAATGTCAGAGAAATGTTTCAAAAAGTGTGTGGTTAAGCCTGGTACTTCTTTGGATAGTTCAGAACAGGTAACCTCTTCTATTTGCATAAATGGAAAATGTTTTATATAACCTAACTATAAAATGTAACTTTTTACATTTGTAAACTTAAAAATATAAAGTAAAATTAAACATAACACCTTTTAAAAGAACATTCCAGTAAAAATGTTTGAAATAAAAGAAAGATATTTTCGAAAATGGTTTTTAAAAAATTACATTAATTTTTATATAATGTAAATAAATATTATGAATATTTACGTATATAATATATGCGAAACTAATATAAAATATATAAAATAATATGTAGACAAATTAATATATGGAAAACAGTTCACAAATTAATTTATTGCTTAAAAATAATAAAATAAATTTTATTGAACGTTTACTTGATTCAGTTTTATTTTTTGAATCACAAAAAGTTTTGTATTACATATATTAAACAAGTATGTCATATTACTGAAACAATAAAAATGATATGTTTGATTTCACTTACCATATTATAAATAAATCTCAACAGTTTGCATATATAACTTTAATAACTATTTTAGAAACAATTTAATAATATAATTAAGAAAGACAATAATATAAACTAGAAGAATAAGGAAATTAGTAACTAAATATCTATAAGCATCTAAAATTATTAAATTTAGTGTTTATTTTATACTTTTGTAAGATAGATAAATATAATTTTTTAAAACTATAACTTAACAAATTTAAATAGATATGCATTTATATAATCTAATTTCATTATTTTTAAATACAAAATCAATTCTTGAAGTGTTTTTTTATATATTAAATTATTGTACTGTGTGTAAACATAGAATTAAAAAAAAGATAAAATATAATATTGATAAAAAAAATTGTTATAAAATTATATATGGAATATTTAGTGTTCTCAAATATTTGTAAGGTATTTATATTTACTAAAGTATATTTCTTATAAGAGTATTTCCATTACTATTAATAAACCATGAAAGTCATTTTAATTTTCTTACAGAAATGTGTAGCAATGTGTATGGACCGATATATGGATGCATTTAATCTTGTATCAAAAACATATAGTGCTCGAATACAAAGAGAGCATGATAGAATGTAACAGTACAAATTGTTAAATAAATTGTTTCTGGTTGTATATTGTGTAATTGTATATCAACTATTTTCCAAATATTGTTTAGAAACTATCACAATTGTAATTATAATGTATATTTATTAACAAGTCTATGTCATTATAAATATTGAATAATTTTGTATAGAATGGTATTAGTTTCAATTCAGTTTTAAAAGGAAATAGATTTCTATATTTTGTAAAGCATGCAACATTAAAAACTGCATTTTAATATTACACTGCCATTTGTATTTATAAAGCATCAATAAATAAAGTAAAAGTTACTAAAACTAATAATGGGAGTCTTCTTTATTAAAAGAATGTCATACAATGTATGTATGACTACTATGTTAACAGTAATCAATTTTGAGTCGAGTACAAATTATGATAAAATGAATAGTACTTAAAATTATAAAATTCTATTAAATAAATTTAATATAAAACTATAATTAGGTACATTATAAGGTAGTTAAAAAACACACAACATCTGCAAAAGAGAAAAATTTTTATAAAATAAATAACATATACATGAATATTGTTACATCGTACTTCAAAATCATAAATAAGTAACTTAGGTATTTTGTAAATCCCGCAATTCCATAGTATGTATTTGCATTGTTTCTTATTCATACACACTAAAAGGCACAATATAGCTACCAATACTTCAACGTGGTTACAAAAATAAACCTCTAGGACTGTATGAAAAAATATCGTGAGTGGTTTATTAATACTTCATTTGTTCAATTTGATATTATAAATTAGTAAATAACAATAATTACAACTACTTCATATCAGTGTTTGCAAAATCTATAATTAATTTGCATACCAGTGCATTATATGCCATTATCATATGTACAGATCAATACAGACATTTCATAACATAACAAATCGATGTTATTAGTTACTTATACTTTTTTGTTATCAAAAAACAGCTGCAAAGATATATATATATATTT